TTTTGGTATAAGATTTTAAATTTATTTAATTACGTTAATTATTATTATTATTATAGACTGGCTATGAATGGCTTCTTCCTGGGACGGAGCTTGGGTGCATTGACTCAAAAATAGCAGCCTTCGTTTTGAAAAACAAGCACATAATCGAAAAGTATTATTATGATCACCCCTTATTTTGCCATGTCGTGGATATGACTTTGTTTGGAGATAAAGACAAGGATATACTTTCAAGTTGTTTAAAGCAAATATTTTCCAGTGAATTATTATCATTATTAATGAAATTACCAAAAATTTGCAATTTGAGCACTGAACAAAAAAAGGACGTTGATAGTGCAATAGAAATAATACAAGATGGAAGGTCTTATGACCAATCTGAATATGGTCGATTGGTTAAATATTTATACGATGAATTGTATGTATATTGAATATTTTGAAAATCCGGCATGCAGGATAGATTTTCCGATCACAAGGTGACCTACAAAATCACTTAAAGCTTCGTTTAAATTAGGGTTTGTGTTAAGGTTTGCATCTATTTTTAGCAAATTATATAGTAAAATTATTCAAGAAACATTTTAACTAGAGCATGAAGAGTGATTTATTAGCTAAATTTTCATGATAATGCCGATTTTCTTTGAAACGGTTGTTGCTTACACATTGTGTTGCGTTATACTTGTGATTTTCCATTGACTAAGAATTATGTGATCGGAAGGTCTATCCTACATTCTGGTATTGTTGTCGTTTTTAATGAATATTTAATATTAACACCCAAGTGTTTTTAGCACTGTACTTTGGAGGAAAAAACGGTATGATGAGTTAGTCGAACCAAATGACACCATAAATGAGGGACTTTGGACGGCTGAACCAGTTAATATTATTATTACCGCTATAATGCGTGAATTGGATAACATATTACCGCAATGGTAAATATATACTGTTATATTTATTTACAAATTTGATAATTTTTTTAAATTTTTTTGCTAAAATTAGTTAAAAAAATATTACAGGTCAGCTAAAGTTTGCAATTCAACCAAAACGTCCATTATGAAAACAATAGATTACGATTCTTACAAATGCAAAAGTTCTTCACATCAAAATGATCTCATTACTCAACGAAAGCCAGACGTTTGGGCAACGACTAATATCAATGGTAATCTTTATGAATTAATGTATGGAGAAGTTTCTGGTATGCCATTCGATCCGGATAGCATTCATATTGAGGAAGATCGACGGAAATTGTTTAGATTGGGAGTCAGAGGAAAAGTTCTTTTTGCTAAGAACATAAGAGAGCAATATGCGCATGCATTAAATGATCAAATAATAGAATCTATATTATTATTACCAATTCCACTTCTGCGGTTCTATAGTAAGTTTTTTTTTTATAATGCAAGTGGTTATTTATTAATTTTATTGAAAATATTTATAACATTTATTTCTTTTTATTTAGAGCGAAAATTTCAAGTAATGTTTCTTGATCATCCGGGAAAACTCTATCGGGCTACGTCATTTACCCCTGTTGATATTCCTGTGCAAAGCTCACAAAAACATAAGTTTAAGGCTTTCGCAATTAAAGTGTGTGAAGTGTATCAAGTCCTAAAAAATATTGGTAATGAAGTCAGGTACATCATGGACGAAATTGATAAAAATGAAATTAATAATGCGATCATTACACCGATTAATGGCTCTCCATTAAACTCACCAACTATTTCAAAAACACCTCCCAAAAAATAGATCAAGAAAATAGATCAAATTTATTTTTATGGTAAGTAGACTACATACCTGATACTGCAACTTTTAAGAACATGAATAAAAGATTGTTAAGACTTTTTTTTGATTTTTACCTTTTAGAATACTGGTATCCTGATCCAATCAACGTCCAACTACTCAAAGTAGTTAACAATATAAATAATCAATTATAATAGAGAATGTTTTGCAAATATGGTAAGGATGCAATGGACTTGTTAAAGTTATGTTAATCGATTAAATAGTCAAGAAATTAGAATTAATTTCGTCATTTATTGTAAGTTCAAAAAAATCTTGGCAATGATTCGAGATTTTATAGTTCTTCATCTAACTAGCGTTTTTTTAGTAAGGAATCTGAAATTTATTTTTATAATATTAATTAATATTTAGTTAATATTAAAATTATAACGTAAGGATTTGATTAGCGTACTTACTCTCCCTATAATCTTTGTTTGCGATCTACCTACTGATCATTTCTGAATTCGGTATGTATGTTCATGTGCAAAGTTTTCGATTGGCTTTTTACTACCCGTAAAGCATTACTTTCCCTTTTTAATGAGCATGGAAAGGTTTTCATCAAATAATTTTACAGTATATCGATATATTCTTATGCAATATCCAAGCTATCTGAGCTAACGTTAAGATTTATTTGCTCATGTGCCCCAAAAATTTTTATCGAACTTTGGTTATATTTATATCTTTCTGCTTTGTGATAATATAACCTTGAAGATGATGCATTCTTATCGTTATTGTTATGAAGATTTTATCGTGTTTTTTAATAAGATCTTTGCCAAATGTGTACAGGGGTTTTGATTGCGAAAATACCGTTCCTGATGGGCTATAATGAAAAAAGTTAAGATTAGGTTCGTTTTTAGAACCCTATCAGGAACAGTACTCAAATAAATTTTTTTTTTTTTAACTTCATCAAGATCGGTATTGCCGATCCATCAGGAAAAGTATTTCTGTGTTTTGATTATTTTTTTTCATAGTATAAAACAACAAATATGTGTAGGAGGTCTTGATTAAAGATAAATTTTTATTATAAAAAAAAAAAAAAAAATACATGCGGGAGAGCTTTGATAGCATTAAAGAAAATATTTTCATTATATAAAACTTATACTTTAGATATTGTGTGCGTTGTGACGCAACCAAGTTTCAGAATTAAACTTTGGCTTGTGGAACATGTGAGATATGTAGTGTAACTCTATAATAGT